TTACTATATGTCCGTTTCGTTTACTTTTTTTTCTTTTTTCGTTTTATTTGTATATATATATATATATATATATATATATAAGCTTGCATTTGCTATTTTCACACATTCTCATAAATTTAAATTATTTGATCTGTCCTTATTCTTTAATCAAGTTGATACAAGATTATTTATTGTAAAATAATTGATTAATAGTTCTGGAACGGTGCAATTGCGGGAAACTACTAAAGCTTTTTCATCAAAGCGTAACAAATATAATTTTACGCGTATTTAAGTACTATACATACGCACTGGAGAAAAGTGGTGGGACACACTTTAATGCGAATCTCCGCGCGGAGCTTCGAGTGTGTGCTACGATAATTAACCGGTTTCGTACGTGGATCGATTAGTATGTAACGAGATATCGAAGATTTCCGGTGCGTTATTTATTTCAGATTTCGGAGAGACTAATACGAGCGACTCGAGTATTTGCAATTTTGCGATTTTTTTTAAACGCGCAAAAGACGCAAATTTCTTGCAAATAGATCAAGGTCAATCTCGAGAAACGCTTCGGCCGCTACAACCGGTCCTTAATCGTAACGAGCGATTAGAAACGAGCGCAAAACGAACCGGTGATTCACAGGTGCGCGATCGAAAGGTGATTCGGGTTTTAGGTATTCCACGCGCGTAGCTGCTGCGTGCAGCAATGCAACTTCGTGCACCACCTAGAAAATTCACACGCGCACTCGAGACGCAACAACAACGAATTCGGCATCTGATCCAAGCGTGCGACTAACGAAAATACACAAATAATAATTTTCTCGAACTATTATTAATTTTCTAGTAGTAGTTTTCATAGAAGTCATGCGGAAATCCGCGAAAACTTTGAATGTAAAGAGAATACAAGGGAAATATTTTTCATGTCTCTCAGTATACATTTACGAACATAACAAAAAAGTTTTTTGAAAATTTAAAAAGTGTTTAGAACGGCATATTGCTTCGAATATTAATTAATAATTTCGAACAATTTCATCGACAAGTCGTCAACAAGAGGAAATAAAGTTTGCAATTTTCTTTGCAGTAATATATTTTGTTTGAAAAATATGATGAAATGGAAAATTAATATTGTAAATTAATATCTGCATTGAAATAAAATAAATTTGTTATCGATAATCATTGTATAATATTTTATGTGTTAATTAAAGATTCGGGCAATGTTTGGTGGAAATTAATAGTCCTGTGAAGAGCTCAAAGTTCGAATAGCACGTGGAATACTCGCTCGCTGACTCGCTGTGAATCGCTTGTTAGATCTTACATGCGCACGTGGAAGACAAGGACAATTCATTACAACGAACAATGATTTCCTGAACAGGTGACTGCCCTTCCGTTTAACAGAAGAAAACGCCATCAAACCTTCTCGCATGAAGAAAGTATAATCATGATATGATACATCACATGGCGATTAAACAATATTTAATCTAAAATGACAATTATTACAACAATTTAAGATAAATCATGATTAATTTGAAAATTTCAAAAACAATTTATGTTTGGAAATCGGTAATTATTTAATTTTGATGCTCGATTTTAATTTTTAATCAATAAAATATTATAAAATATTACTCAAATATTAAGAAGTAATAAAATAAATTTTATAAAACAGCCAAATGTTTGAGAAATATAAAAGATAATTCCTATTAATAAAATATAGAAAATATAAACTTATATACAAAACAATATGACTAAAGTTATTCTTTTAATTGTTATAAACCCTTTAATTCTGATGAAAGTCTTTTTTTTTAATGAAATTATATAAAGCGCGTGACACCAGAGGTTTAACGAAATTTGTAACATCCTGATAATTAAAAATATTTATCTCATTGCATTATATAAATTTTAGCTAAATAATTTTTAAGCATTTCAAACTTTTTGAAGGTACTTCGGAGGAGATACCGAGGGAATTTCTAATGTAAATAAACATTTTGTCGGTCTCAATTATTTGAAGTATGTAACACGCGATTCGAGCTGTAACGGCATGTAATACGTCGACTAAAAATAATTGCGATTACGTCGTGCGACTCGCGTCTGCCATTGTGCAAATCGTAAAATTGCGCCGATGTGTTCACTATCATTGCCATTGCTCTAAATTTCCGTGAAGCGCGTTGCACAACGCGCTCGCTCGCCACGGCCGATTGTTCACGCACGAATTCGCCGGCCGGAATCGTGGTTTTTCATACGATTCCTCGCTACGTGAATAAACGAAGGACGAGAGTGGAAAACACAACTTCCGTCGTCGGGAAGGTTGAGCTGATTTCGATCGGCGGCTTGTTATTGCCGCCAAGATCGGCCACTTCGTTAGGCCTTTGCCAAACAAACCACGGAGGCTCGAGCTCAGTAGTTTCATTTGGAATATTTATTAATTATTAATCACATTATAAACTACTTACCGTTGAAGCGACCGTCGCAGCAACAATGATCGTTGATAATGCTACCGTTCTTGCAATAAATTATCTCGGAGTAGATGCAAACCTGGCATCCTGGGACGTGTCCTGCAATAACAATAGATGCGATTAAGCGCGAATAATTAAAGAATGAATTAGTTAAGACGAAAATGAGCTGAGGGAAAATAAGGAAAAATTATCAATTAAAAAGAAACCGCCGTACCGTTTAATATCTGCAATCTTTGTCACGAGATGAGCAAGATGACACGGACGAGACACCGTATTTCTCAGGCATAAGAATGAAGCCGAGCGCACGGCCGCTTATTAATTAAGCATTATATTTCATTAACCTCGATACCGGTAACTGCGATTAAAATACATGACAATCGCATCGAATCCGCGCATCTATGATTCACGTTAATTAGCAGGCTCGAGGCTCCTTGCGTAATCCTTTATGAAATTGTGTCGCGGACGTGGCGGAATTATCTGGCCGCGGTGATAGCGATGCACCGTCATATCGGCATCGATCGCGAATTATACATTGTATAACTTTTGCCTTCGCAAGATCGAAGCCTCGTTAGATCGTGCTGCAATCTGCAATCGGATATCGCATATTATTTGCGTTTATAATATTTGATGAAGATTGTTAACTGGAAAAAATCGTAGAAATGACGATCGAAAATTTCTAACTGCCGTTAACAATGTACATATGTATAACATATGCCGATTTCTCAACTTTAAATAATAATTGAAACACCTGTTTGTTAAAATCTTAGTTTCTAAATTTATTTTAAATCTAAATTCACGTGTGATAAGCAACAGGTGCAACCGCGCTTCTTATGATGCTTCTTCGAGTCACGATTAACGGATTGGATTACAGAAATAAGAACGGTCGACAATTCCTAATTCACACGAATAATATCAGGGGGTAATCATCAACTTCCTCGATCAAAATTATCGTAATGAAGAACCACGTGACAGCTGGCTGCGTTGTTACGATGCAAACGGCACCGTCAGATACCTCGATATGATGTAAACATATTATAACAGTATTCATGCTTTTTATTTCTTCGTTTCAACAATAAGCCGAAAAAAGTGAGAGCCGAATCCAACAGAGAAACCGCAACAAAAGGCTGGAAAATTGAATTTTCATGCGCTAACGATAAAAAGTACATGACTCATTTAACTTTTCTATTCTGACATTCACATTCGATGTGTATTAATAATAATTTTAATCATGAATACAATGAATACAAGACATCTATATTACCTATATCATTATACAACTGAAACTATATAAACTAACATAACTTAAAAAAATAATTATTAAGTTAATATATTATAAGATGGCAATTATATTCTGTCAAAAAATTTCAGTAATATTTAAAAATAGAGATAAGAATAGTCATATTTAAAAATAAATAAATATAATTTAAATTTACCTTTCGCGTTTTATTTATTCAACTAATAACAAACATTTAATTATTTTTCAATTATATCGTCCTTCGCTTCCATTATTAACTTGAAACTTATTTTAAAATTTTCATATTATATTAATATTATAAGATGGCAATTCAATATACTGTGGCGTCTTATTCCAAATGTTTTAGACATCAACTGTAAGTATTCATATATATATATATATTATTGAAACGGTAAACGGACTGAATGATAAATATATTAAAATAAACTTCAGGCTGATTATAAGAAATAAAAAAAAGATAATCGAAAAATAATTACATCAAACGTTTGTTATTAGTTGACGACTAAAGCGCGGAAAATGAATTTGAGTTATGTTTATTTGCTATAAATATACTAAAATTTCTTTTCTTGTGCCAGAAATATATTTATCACTTTGTGATAAAACCCATTTCTAGTATATTAAATTAAATAAAAATCTATTTTATAAAATCAATGCGTAAATATAAATTGCTATTCTGTTGCTATAAAAATGTTAATTAAAAATATAAATTTGAAATATAAATTTTTTTATAGTACATACAGTATAAAAGCTTTTGTAAGCTAGACATAAAACTAAATTTTTAGAAATGGAATAATGAAGCTATCGCTATTTAAGTATGAAAATAACACTTTCTGTTTTCGAATGTTATTCATGCAGCTCTTGTTCATGCCGGTTAGAGTGCGATTGACAGAACAAAAATTTCGAAACGTCAATCGTGCGACGCTGGTTAGATGGATCAAAGCAGCTATTCTTGGCGGTAAGATAAATACATTTCTGCGTACTGTAAGGTAGCTTTATAGATCGATCGTAGGAGTTAGACAAGAGAGTTAATGCGATGCTTTTAGCAACTGGACAAAATTGAAAGAAAAGCATCAAAAATATTATCGAGATGTACGAGTATATATCGTAACATTTGGAACCCACTTTAGAAACAGACTCGATAAATTCGCTTTCTTCAATTTTGTTTTTTTTTTTTTAAGAAAAATATTACGGCGCATCAATTTCTTTTTATAACTATAGAATTGGATAATTTTTTATTATCAAGATTGAATGGAAATACATAGCAATTAATTCGCTTCATTCAAATCTAAAATATTTATATTTTAATAAAATTATTATTTAAAATGTAATTAATCATTAAATATTGTAATATTTAAACACCTATAAAAAATCTTATCTCTACAAATTTTGCTAGAAGAAAAATTAAAATTGAGAAAATAGCAGATTGTTGCAAAATTCTTGACTTGTGTGACTTATGTTAAAAAATATTCTATATAATAAATCTTAATTTGAATATCCGTTTAATATTAAAATAATATCTAAATAACATTAAGATAACATTTAAATGTTATTTTCATATTAAACAAATTAATTGAGTCATTTACTCAAGTACTGAAATCCTTCAAAATAATTTCTTAATGAGGGATTTCTTAATGAGATTTCACAATATTATATAATGTTATATTAAATATTAAATTTGCTTGATAATAAAATAACATTGTACAGTATGAGGAGAATTCAATTTTGCTTAATTCTATCATTTGTTTTACAACGCTTCTAATTATTATTTAAGAAAAAATCATTCTTACCAGAATGTATTTCCAGTTTCTTCGCTTGAGCAAGCGCATCCTTCCGAAGGACTTCATGTTCAAGAACATATTCATCGTCAGAATGATGGTTTATGACTATAAGTGCCTCGAGATTGCCGAGGATCAGGAAGAACGTCAAGATACCAATCGTATCAATGTAGATCATGCTAGCATCACCTGATTTCTCATCTTCGATGAGAACCGTTTTTTTCTCAATCACAATAGATGACTTCTGCCTCGACTTCTTTTCGCAGATGAAATAATTTCTGTCAAATTGAAAATAAATATCATTACTAATCATCAAATTCAATCTAAAATGTTTCGTTATGATAAAATTATTTGCTTTTTAATTTTTAATTACAATAGAATTTTTTCCAATTCTCCCAAACAGTTTCAAGTCAAATGTTTCTCAGTAAAAATTCGCAAAAAACTATTTTGTAATTAATAGCAATTGTCGAATGTAAATATTTCCATTGGCAACAACAATATTTCGGAGATCGCATTCATGTGATGATTTTGAACCTTATAACCAAGTTCCAAGGTTAACTGAGACCCTGAACTGAACAAACGTCTCTGTATTGTTTGTGAACTTTCAACAAGACGTACAATAAAACCATTGTCGCAACCGGAAATATATTAAAGATACAATGATACAAAAGATGTGATATAAAATGAAGATATGAAAGTAGATAAAGAAGACGTCGTTTTTATAAGTGACAAGAATTAGATACAAGATACGAATTTTCGTCTACCTGCATATAATCTATTTTATTAATTTTATTTTACTTATAAAATTTTTCCTCCTACTTTTTTATTATCCTTAATTTTAACTTCGGAAGTTTAAATCTTTACTCGATTACCGACAACGGTATCGTATTACATTTGAAGGTGAAAGTGTTTAACTCAACTTGATCGTGCAGAACGATCGTTTCGTGTTAACTGCATAATTGATCGTTACATTTGTTCTCGGTACGCAGGATCGATATTGTTTTAATATTCAAGAATGTACACGGAAAGGTACTGACGCGATGACGGCACGAAGATGCCTTTGATATCGATCGTCTCGATTTGCCATAGTTCCGAGGGGGATGATTCACCCCCCGTTAGTCGCAATTTAATCTGGCGCACCCAGAACTTTCCTCTCTCCTACGGCGATTCGAACGAATTCGTTCTTGCAAAATAGATCACAAGATAAATATTTCTTAACGTAAAAATGTGAGTGAATGGATTTTAAACGACTCCATACACAACGATTAAAATCAATCTCATCAAATTTAAATTTCGTCTAAACAAACGATTTCATCGCCGCAAGATTGTTCGTGGTGAATTTGGCTTCTTAAAAATTATTTTCTTTAAGAGACTGCTAGTATATTATATTTTGTTATTTTTTTTATACATAATATGGAAATTTTAAACACATAATCTTCTATTTTTTAACTTTTAACTTACAAAGAATTATAAAATATATCTTTTAATAATTAGAAAATTTAATTATAAATCCCAATATTTGAAATTAAAGAATTAGCAAAATGAAAATAGAATATAACGTGAATGCAAATACTTTGATCGTAAGAAATCTATACACATTACATAATTCTGATTATGATACAATCTCAAAACTTGTAGTACATATATGTGGCATTAAATTAAAACATCCTATAAATAACACTGCTTTTTTTAACGTTAGTCGTAACGTTAAGTAATAAAATACAAAAAAATTGATTTTGATGAAAAACAATTTGATTGACTAGTTTATTTTTTTTACATCAAACGTGAACCGATTCTTAGATTTAATACGCTTTAATGAGATTTGATGGATTCACTTGATATTGACATGATGTGCAAATGACATTGATATGCAAATTTCACATTTTATATTAATTTAAACTTATTTGAATTTTGTCTTAACTTCTCGCGATCTTATTATCGCCTAAAATCATCGCGGAAGCAGTCGTGGTACCAAATAATGTTTAACGGCTCGTGTATCTTAGGATCATCTTAGTATCACAGGATCTTGATAAACATGCAGCATGGCGTAAAGAGACGATAATGCTAGAATTCTGCTCGAGTTGCACGCGTCGTGAGTCACGAGTCTGATGACAGCCGGTCATTAATTAGAGCCAATTAAGGGCGGCCAACACGAAACGTAGATGTCTTGCCCTCTGGGACAAGAAGGTGGCATCCCAGCGTCTCTTCCTGTCGATGCTATCGTCGTTTACAAGCAGCACGAACTAGTCTTTATTTCGTCGTACCTAAAATGAAGTGCCGGCGAATACTAAAACGGCGCGAAAGATAATTAAGGGCCTTTGAAGAGCCGACTCTACAAAAAAACAAAATACGTTTTTGTTCACTTTAAGGAATTACAACGCTAAGCACGCACTTTCAAGGGACATTTATTGAAAACAGGAAGCGATCAATCCTACAATAGATATTAAAAAACATGAACTGTCGCGCTTTTTATATTTTTAATAAATGTTTAAAGAATTAAAAGTATAATTGCAATTGTATAAACACAGTATAAATAAACTAAAACTAAATAATAAAACTTAATAATAAAATAATGTTAGTAATAATAAAATATGATAAATATAATAACATAGACAAAAAATTTTTAAAAATTAAAATTCTTAAAATTAAAAATTGATATATTAATCCTTATGTAATATTTATTAAATAACAAGTATTATTTTAAAATTAATTTTATTAAAATAATATAAATAAATATTTTTCATTTTTAAAAGTTTTAATTAAAAACATTCTAAAATATTAACAAAAATCAGCGAGGCTATGATATATTATTATATTATATTAATATATTATTTCTGATGAATATTTTATTCCATTGTAAACCTATCTTTACTATCTTTAAAACTTTATTCAGCAATTATATCAATATCAAGAAATGAATACATTTAATTTGGAGTTACGTGCGATTTGAATTGCATCATATGATACGACAAAATATAGCGTCAACAGTATTATCGCCTTATTTTTCTGCGAACTTACACATGCAACTTGACAAGGTTAAGCTCGCAGAGATATGTAAGCAACAGTTTGCAGTTGTAGAATAAACTTCGCAAATTCTTACCATTTCTCAACGAATCTTCCGGCAATAAAAACTCCAATTATCTCAATTGTATTTCTTCTCAAAAAAAAAAAAAAAAAAAGCGCTTCGAAAAATCTGCACGCACGATCGATCAACTATTTCCATTGGAGCATCGGAGCAAAATAAACAGTCCAGTTTCGAATAATTGCTTTACATAGCTTGGCAGCTTCTTATTTTGAACCTCGAATTAAATATTCGGAAAAATTTGCATGTGATCGAGCGGAATTAGTAGACTAGAATAAGCACGTATGGCAAGTGTGTGGCATCGGCACGCGGAAAATGAAGATCCGCGAAAATCCACGGTGAATGGCGGTGACGGCGGAAAATCGCGATGGACGAACGAACGACCGCCGAAGGCTGCAGACCGCGTTGGACTGCGGCTCGAGGGCTGAAAAGAGTATCGAGTCGCTCCACCACACCACCTTCGGTGGTGCCGCCTCTGCCACGCTCGACCTAACATCGTAGCCGGGCGTCTGCCCGACGTAACACGCGTCGTAAACGTGAACCAGCATAAATCAGAATAATAGTCTTTTACGAAAAATTTCGTTGTCCAGTGTATGTTTAAAGAAGAAGAGGCAGCAATCTGAAGAACGTTTTACTTCAAGCGAAATACCCTCATTTTCAATTCTTGACAGGATAAATAAAAATACAATAAAATTGTTATGTTTGTAATTCTTTGAGACTCAGATATACGTGATGCGAATAATGAAACCTAAAAAGCCCTTTGTTACTGTTTTGTTTAAGATTAGGAAAATATTTTTAATCTCTTAAAAACAATATGCTAAAGATATTGTTATATATAAAGATATTGTTGTATACGTGCACAAAATTAAATGTATATTTTAATTTTTTTCAAATTTTATTAACGTTGTTACTTCTTATTTGTTTCATATGACATATTTGTATTTAGGTGAATATATTTGATAAGTTTAATCAAAACTATAAAAATGTTGCAAATAGAACTTTTACTGAAATATCCCATTTGCATTTTGAAGATAAAATAGCATTTTTAAGCGAATGTGATAAGTTCGATAAAAGTTTTGCTTGCAATACTTTCATAATTTTGATTTTAAATTATGAAATATTATATTTTATATTTTGAAATTATGAAATATTTTCATGAAAATGTGAATGTGTCAAATATTTCAAACGAATAAAATGACTAGAATAATAAAATTTATAAAAAAAAAATCAAAATATATATTTAATCATTTTGATTGTATCCAACAATTAAGCTGATTAAAATTAAAAAGAATATTAGACATCTTCTTTTCCTTTTATCTTGTTCATTAACTTGTAATGTTTTCTATCTCTTTAGAAAATAGTATTTTGTGTTAATTTGATCTAGCAGAAAAGAAAATGAATCGAATCCTGACTTAAGTATTTTCATATATTACGAAAGTCCATAAACTAGTGTAATGGCGCGAAATCATGAGGATGATATGGGAGAGAAAGAGAAAGAGGACGGACAGTATTCCAAAATAGCATTTCTCATTGTACGCACGAAATGATGTAAACGAGAAAGCCGCTGGTGTTCTGCAAGTCCAACTTTGCAAATGAGAGTTTAAATGACAACTATTTATACATACTTTGTTTTATCATTCTATCAACAGAAAGCCAAAAACCGCATGCCGGATCATATATTAAATATAATATTAAAAAATATCTTCATATTTCATATTTTATTTATATTATTTATCAAATTTAGTTTGTTTAATAATTTAATTAAATAAAATATTTGATTTTATTCATGTTCTAGATGGGCTGACGTGATGGTATTTATATTTTTTTCTTCGTGCGAGAAAATAACGATTGCTGTTACATTGATGATAGATCGTATAAAATTATTTGCTCTACCGGAATATAAATTTGTTGACAGATATATGATATATTAAAGTTGACACGCAAAATACAACATAAAATTTAATGGTTTTATTCCACGTGACAATCGGCGACTACACGATTTTAAAGCGTGAATTTCGTATAAAAATCTTAAAACATTTTCTCCCGATGATTAAGCGTAGGTGGATTTTGTATATTGTTAACGGTCACTATTTGGGCTCTGTTTTGCACGTACGCATGCATGCACACGCGCGTATATTTTTCCCATTCGGTTGAGCCATACCTATGTATGTATGAACAAGCATGCACGATGAATAGTAGATAGCGTTGGACGGATCATGGACACACAAAAGCATGCTGGCATAGACACCTGGCCACGATGGGTCGCGGGAATGTGCAACGTGTACGGGTCGTTTTATGGCGGCGAACTCGGTAAGGGTTTTAAGAAGGGTCTCCCTTAGGTATGCTATTGATCCTGACGAGACTCCTTATTTCGCTTCGATGGAGTGGAAAGAAGCCGAAGGAACAAGAGTAAGAATATTTTCATTCCTGTCTTTACTGGTTTGCTTTCTACATTTTATTTAAATACGGAAATAAAGAATGAGAGAGACATAAAATTAAATATATTAAATTATTTAAAACTATATATATATATTTATATATAATTGTTATGTGACAGAGAGAAGAAAAATTATATTTTAGAGAGGAAAAAGTATATTTAATTATGAAATTGAAAAATATTTGAATTTAAGTAAAAAATTTTTTTAGTTAGTATAAGTAGAAAAAATCGGAATCAGAAAAGCTTAACAATAAAGTTCTTTTTCTTTTTTTTTTTTAATAAATTTAGTATAACGTGTAAAATTAAATTCGCTGTTTAAAATTTTGTTAAATGAAATTTCGAAACTTATTTGCGAAGCGAAATAGATTGACGTAGAGAGAAATTCGTTAAAGAGAAGATTGATGTTGCGGCGACGATTTCATGGATATTGCTTCTATTATTTTAGCCTATTGATCCTGTTTTGCTCGACTGAAGCCGTAAGTATATCTAACTAAGTTTTCATACACAAAGTTTCAACCTAACACAATGTTTTCCCTGCATCGGCACGATCTTCATATAATGTAGCTACAACACGAACATAACTGATTTTCTGTAAAATTTGAAGTCTTTCTGTGAATATTATTACGTATATTTACGTATATATTATTTAAAATGAAATGACAATATTTTCAACACTATAGATCTCTTCTGTAATTAAATCTTACTTTAAAAGTTCTTTTAAAATTAAAATCTACATAGAATTAAATAAAAATAGAATTGTATTATTTACCTTTGAACTATCAGAAATTAATACCAAAAATATTAAAAAGCTATTTTATTTAAAAAAAAAATTGATTCTAAACAGTGCAGGATTTTATATTAATACAATAAAACTCAAAATTTTTAAGAGATTTTTCATAATAATAATAAATAAAAACAAAATTAAGAAGTTAAATACATTGGTTTATAAGTTTGAGAATCTCTGTTTGGTAACATGCTTATTCGAGAAAAAACTCTTATTGATCCTCTAAGTCCTGTCATAACTTAAGCAGTGAGTTGGCAAAGACATGTTCTTTAAACGTTCTAGAACGCAAATTTTTTCGCTTATTTTGTCTTTCTAGGTTAAACGGATTTTTAAAAATTGATTATCCGATTACCCGCATCTTTCGTTTCTTGATAAGGTCATGTAATAATGGTCATTATGCGCTTTGTATTGTTTAAAAATTTTAATCACGTATATGTGACAATTTCTTTTTTATAATTGATTCTAATCTGTGTCACACTTATTATATTTAATATTTATATACTGAATATTAAAAATACATAAAGGGAAAGTCAATTAAAAGAAATAAATCAATATTTATAATAAAATACAGCTCTATTTGTTCAATCAAAAGTTTACTTTGTTTACATTATCTTTATATAGCAATTATTTAAATATAATTGGATATAAATTTTTGATAATTTTTATATTGTTTATAAAGTATAAACTAAACACTCTCGATTCTTTAGTTTCGAAAATAAAGGAATCTAGTTGTTTACTTGCAGATATGTAATATAAAAATAAAATAAAACAATATTTTTAAATCTTTGAAATCTCCAAAAATTTTAAATTGCGTTTTCTTCTCATAAAAATGAAAAATTGCGCTATTCGTCGTTACCTCAATTAAGTTCCGTTCGTGACGCGTCGTTTAATCATAAGACGGATCGAATCGTCGAGGCGCATCACGCACATAAATCGAACATATGATGATGATGATGATTGGAAAGCGAAGTGTATTTTACTTCTCGTGGGTGTGTCAGCGCCCAGCCCTATCACGCTCTAAATACCTTTTATTCTGACACATCCTTGACAGCAATTGCGAAAAATGCAAAACATTTGTGGCCCGCAGTATAATATTAAAATTCACATCGGCAAAAGAAGAATTTCAACATCAAGATAATATTAATCGACGCATTACTACTAACGATTGATAATAAAAATATATATAATAAATTTGCCAATCAGATTGAAACGTTTTCACACTTTCTACAACTTTTAACAACGATGTAATAGTACATATATTTAATAAAAATCTTTTTTATACAAATTAAATAATTTATGCATAAA